TGTTCTGGGATAATGTTCTTGTACACTGTAAAGATTTGTCACTCCTATTGGTTTAATAAAAAGCTAATTGGCCAGGCAGGAAGTACAGGCAGGACAACCAGACTAGGAGAAGTCTGGGAAGAGAAAAGACAGATGCAATTGTCAGATGCAGAGGAAGCGACAAGCCACGTGGCTAAACATAGATAAAAGTTACAGGTTAATTTAAGTTGTAAGAGCTAGTTAGTAATAAGCTTGAACAATAAGTCAGACAGTTTGCAATTTTTTTAAAAGATTTATTTATTTATTATGTATACAGTATTCTCAGTACTCTACATACAGTATGTCTACATGTATGCCTGAAGTCCAGAAGAGGGCACCAGATCTCATTACAGGTGGTTGTGACCCACCATGTGGCTACTGGGAATTGAACTCAGGACCTTTGGAAGAGCAGGAAGTGCTCTTAACCTCTGAGCCGTCTCTCCAGCCCCCAGTTTGCAATTAATATAAGCCTCTGTGTGCTTATTTTGGGATTGAAGGGCTACAGGATCAGGTAGGACAGAAACTTTCATCTACATTTTTCCTTTTTCTGAATTATTCAGAAATATCTTAAACCTGGCCTATAATCTTATCATTAAGGAAGGCAGAAAATAGTTCACATAAGAGGGCAGTCTAAGCTACATACAGACTTTGTGTCAAACAAAAACGGCTGGGAAAGCAGCTCCAGTGGTAAAGTGCCTGTTCCGTATGAGGATGACAAGTTCACAGCCTGCTCAAGCTATAGAGAGCCCAAAGGCGGCCTAAATACATTAGTGAAACTGCCTCAAATTTAGTTTTGAGGGTGGTAATAGTTCAGAGGTAAAGCTTCTCTACTGATGTCAAGATTACAGATAACCTGAGCTTTGTTTTGATCTACCCCAGCATGGTGGAGAGGAACTGACACTCCTAAACTGTACTCTGACTGCCATAGGCCCATCATGACATACCCCTTTCTCCCACACAAACATAAAAATAATTTTTGTTTCGTTTTGTTTTTAGAGACAGGGTCTCACTATGTAGCCCTGGATGGCCTGGAACGCAGAGATCTACCTCAAGAGTGCTGGGGTTAATGGTGTGTTCTGCCATCTTTCACCTAAAAAAATTACAAAGCCAGTAGCTCTCAGTGGTAGAGTGCTTGCTTAGCACCAGTTAAGGAAAGAGGGATGAATGTAACTGGAAAATCTGATCCAGGATTATTGCTACAAGCAATAGGGCACAATATATACAATTTCCAGGCCAGACACGACCATATAGCAAAACTTTGTCTCAAATAATAAATACATTAAAATTCGTAAGAAAAATCTCCATACATCCCAATTCTGGTACTTCAGTAAGTCAATATTTACCTCAATCTCATTTCTCCAATGGAAGTATCAGTTTGAAACAGTCATGACAGTGTACACCTACAGTCCCAGAACTTGGGAAATAGAACCTGGGCTACATGAGATCCTTGTCTCAAAAAGCCAAAGGAAAAGAAGGGCTGAGGAGCTGACACAGCAGCTAAGAACACTGGCTGCTCCACCAGAAGACCCAAGTTCAGTTCTCTGCACCTACAAGGCTGTACAACACACACCTGTAACTGCAGTTCCTGTTTCCAGGGGATTGATGCTTTCTATTGGTCAGGCACAGAAGCACCACACATAGGCAAAACACTCCAATACAGAAAATAAAAATATTTTTAAGGCTGGGAGGTGGTGGCATTGCTTTTAATCCTAGCACTTACTTGGGAGGCAGAGGCAGACAGATCTCTGGGAATTCAAGGCCAGCCTGGCCTACAGAGTGAATTCAACTGTTTCACAAAGAAACCCTGTCTGGGGGGAAGGCAGGGAGACACCAAAACTAAAACAAAACAAAAACAACTTTTAAGGAAGTAAAAGCCAGCCGGGCGATGGTGGCGCACGCCTTTAATCCCAGCACTCGGGAGGCAGAGGTAGGCGGATCTCTGTGAGTTCGAGACCAGCCTGGTCTACAGAGCTAGTTCCAGGACAGGCTCCAAAGCCACAGAGAAACCCTGTCTCGAAAAACCAAAAAAAAAAAAAAAAAAAAAGGAAGTAAAAGCCAAAGGGCAATGCAGATTCCTGTGGGTTCAAAGCCAGCCAGCCTGGTCTACATAGTTAGACTTTAACTCAAGAAAGAAAAGGAAACCAAACAAAGGGAAAAAAGACCCAACTTAAATAAATTAACAAAGCATTCTCTCTTAGTAACACACACCCAAGTTCAAACTGACTGCAAAGTTAAAAGTAACATTAAAGAATCATTTTTTTTTCCTTTTGATGAACCCAGGAAACCTTTTACAAGATGGCCACCAGCACCTGAGATCAGAAAGGCCAACTCTACTTTGTACATGCAGTAATTTATAACCAGAAGAAAACTGTGGTGACATTTAATCTATTGAGTGTAGGCCACGACAAACTGGCTGATTTTACATATAATTTAGTTCTCGAACACTTTACAGATGAAACTGCTGAGAGTAAGTTTCTCAAGATTAACTAGTTAAAGGTCAGTTTCCAAAGTTAACATCTTAAAACAGATATTTAATTCTCCTGCAATTAATCTGTCAGGTTATAAAGATTTAAGACTATTACCAAGTCAGCCTTTACCATAGACACTCTTCAGTCTGCAGGTTCTTGGTCTCAGTAAATCAAACACAGGTGTTTGTTATTTGCAACCCAGAATGAAAAACATAAAAACTGCAGGTAGAGGCAGAAGTAACAGAAGCTCGGAGTCATCCTTAGGGGGCTGGAGAAATGGCTCAGAGGTTAAGAGCACTGTCTGTTCTTCCAGAGGTTCAATTCCCAACAACCATCTAGAATGAGATCTGGTACCGTCTCTTGTGTGCAGTGTACATACGTGTGTATGTGTACATACGTGTATATATATAAATGAATCTTTAATAAAAAAAGTCATCCTTGGTTACACCATGTAACCTCAACTACACTAGACAGACCTGCCTCAAATTAAAAAGGAAAAATATGAAAATTCTTATGGGTAATAACCTGTTAAATGTAATGGACTGAAACATAAGAACCCAGCAGGGCAGTGGTGGCACACAGCTTTTATCCCAGCACTCTGGGAGGTAGAGGGAGGGGGATCTCTTGAGTTTGAGGCAAGTTCCAAAACAGCCAGAAAAACACAGAGAAATCCTGTCACAAAAAACCAAGAAAAGAAAAAGAGACATAAGAACTTGAGTATGGCCAAGCAGTGGTGGGGCATGCCTTTAATCCCAGCACTTGGGAGGCAGAGGCAGACAGATCTGGGAGTTCGAGGCCAGCCAGGTCTAGGAGAGCTAGTTCCAGGACAGGCAGGACAAGCTACAGAGAAACCCTGTCTCGAGGGAAAAAAAAAGAACCCGAGGACAAAGTTGAAATGCAGCTGATTGATCTTAAAATCTTAAACGTTTGGGGCTGGAGAGATGGCTCAGAGGTTAAGAGCACTGGCTGCTCTTCCAGAGGTCCTGAGTTCAATTCCCAGCAACCACATGGTGGCTCACAGCCATCTGTACTGAGATCTGGCGCCCTGCTCTGGTGTGCGGGCATACATCGAGGCAGAATGTTGTATACATAATAAATAAATAAATCTTTAAAAAAAAAATCTTAAACGCTTGTATTCACTGACCACAGCTTTGCTTACTGTACTTTAAGACCCTAATTGCTGTTTTTATAATCTGCCTGTAAAGAAAACCAGTTCTTAAATCATTCTGTTGATACAAGACCTCTTTGCAATGTAAAAATAGTAAAGCCCTTTCATCAATGCCGGGAGATAGAGAACAAATGTAGGCAAATGATCTTTTCCCTTTTATTTCATTTCAGATTAGTATCTGAGTGCCTAAAGGACAAAAGAGACCATCAGACCCCCCCCCGCCCCCCCAAACACCAAACAGGTGTTTGTGAGCCACATGATGTGGGTGCTGGGAACCGAATCCCGGTGGAAGAGCAGAAAGTGCTCTTAACCGCTGATCCATCTCTCCACCAGATAATGGTATTTTCACAATGAACTGTCCACAGTATCATTCTGGCCAGAGTCCAACTACTCATTCAGTGAGACGGACAGTGGGTTTTCATATGCTTAACAGATTTGGATATCATAAGATGCTTTAAAACCATGCCTTAACTACAAGTGAGGGTCTGAGTAACAAAACTAAGTCAAGACAGCTCGCTAGTCTGCAAGCAGAGAACAAAGGCCACCTTTCTTAAACTACCTCTACTCAAGCCAAAATTAAAAACAAGACCGATTTCTCGTTCATCTCACGCTAAAAAAAAAAAAAAAAAAAACCTAGGTCCCTTACCTCCCTCTATCATTTCTTCCCACGGTCTCTCTGGCTTACTTTCCCTACTTTTGCATGCTTGCTAAGACACTTTTTAAAATAAAGGAGAAAAACCGTCCAGGTCCGCAGCTATTCTTATTCGACAGGCCTGGGGGCAAAACTCGGTTCGAGAAAACCTCAACCTCCATCCGATTGTCTCGTCGCTCCAGCCTCTGAGTAACTTAAAACCGAGTTCCCGCTAAATCCCGCATCTCTCGCTAGACCGTGCGGCGGCTGACGAGCATCCCGGCCCTCTCTCCCAGTTCCTCCCGGTTCCGGCCGTCTTTCCCTCCTACACCCCAGGTCAAGGCGCTCTCCACCACGCGCAATCAAAACGGGTTTTTTTGTTTTGCTTTGTTTTTCTCTTTGAGAAAGCGGATTCATTTCTGGAAAGACCCGGTCGTTGGCGCGCGGAACAACTACTAGAGGAGGAGGCAGGGTCGGGAAGGGGGCGGGAGCACCGTACTATCCATCAAGCTCCCCGCGCTCGCAGATCGCGAGTCCTCTTCGGGCCTCGTCCAAGGCTCAGAAATCTCCCCTTACACCCTGAGCCGGGGTGGGACTCGTGGGTGCAGGATCTCGAAGGCCAGGTCGAGAAGGGAACTCTCGATGCCCGGGCAGTCCGAGGGGGCGGGAGCAAGAGGAACAAAGCGGCGGCCACCCACCGCCAAGACCCGCTTACCTACGGACAAGAGCTGCATGGCGTGAGTGAAAGACGGGTCGAGGGAGTCCTTCTCTGCCATGAGTTCGGGCAGGTACTTATTCTCCGGCTCCATCTTGGCCGCGGCTGTGGCTGACGGGGGCAGCAGCGGGGTCGGCGCGGAACCCACGACAGTCGCGTCGGGACCCGTGGCCGAGGGAGGCAGCAGCGGTGGCGGCTGCGTGGCGGGCGAGGCCCGTACGCCCCCTCTAGGCCCACCTCCGCCTCCCCGGGACCGGTGTGGCAGCGGTGACGGCCGAGTCGGGGTCTGACGCACCGAGGGGTGGACACCTGAAGGGTCCATGGAGCCGCTGCGGCCTGAGGACCGAGTCAGGCGCGCGGCAGGGTCGTCCCGGCGCTGCATCGGGGAGGATGTGTAGCGAGCGAGCGAGGAAGCGACGCGACGGCAGCCTAGGCCCGAGCGGCGGTTGGCGGGGGTGGAAGAGCGGGAGCGACGGCGACCGAAGCCGACCCGAGCGACCCAGCGAGAGAGCACCGGAAATGAGGCGGTGCGCGTGCGCAGGCGTCTACCGGCACCGCCCTTGAGTTTCTCCGCGGAGAACAAAGTCCCCAGTCGGGCCACGGCGCCTGCGCCGACTCAGGACGTAGCCTCCCCGCTCAGGCTTCGAGTTTTTTGCGCCTGCGCGGGCGCCAGCCGCCTTCGTTCGTTTCTTTTTTTTCTTTTCCACGTGACTCGGCGCTAGCGGTACACGTGTCTCCCCCCCCCCCATCCCCACACTCGAGCGGAGGGGGCGGGAGCTGTGGAATGTCTTTGTCTGCGCGCGGGCCCGCGGAGTGTGGGGCCGCGGACCTGTTATTAGTGGGCCACGCCTCCTCCAACGGCCGAGCTTCGGGAGCTCCCTGGAAAGACCGAGAGGAATCGGGGGCCCCCACCAGTCAGGAAATGAAAGAACGCTTCTGGGGACCCGGAGAGGGGAAAAGAGGGTTAGAGCAGTGTGAGGCCGGAAGAGAGGGAAAGACTGCCCCAACGGGATGGGAAGATGGGAGCACTGGGAGAGGCTGACCCAAGGAATAAGTGTCGTGGGTGTGAGAAAGGGAAGCCTGGAGGGAGAAATAGAAGACTAAACAAATAAAAGACTTAGAGAAGTGTCAATCAGAGACGCCAAGGTCGGGAAAAAAGGGGCTCCAGACCCAAGCAAGGCACCCAGGAAGTCGTGATACTAAGCTTTCCATTATAGCAGGTTCAAAATTGGCAAGAGAATTCTCTTTAAAAGATGCATTTGGGGTCGGATCAGCAGGTAAATCCGCTTGTCTCCTGAGTTCTATCCCCAGGCCCTAAATGGTAGAAGGAGAGAATCGACCCTCACAAGTTGTCCTCTAACCTCTACACACACTCATATGCATGCACACACGCACACATACACACACTGGCATTCAATGTGTCTTGCCCCACCCCCTTGTGAGGGGGTCGGTTTAAGATGCACCATTGTAGCATACTCCGTATACCTGCGCTGAGAAGGGAGCAAGGCAGGAGAATTACCGCAAATTTGAGACAGGTCTGATCTACACAGGGAGCTCCAGGCCACCTAGGGTATCGGAGGGACTCCCAGTCCCCCTAAAACAAACCAAGGCAGATGACACACCTTGTGAGATTTAGGCATTTGAGGCATTTTAGCTTATACGTTTTTTGCCTTCTGTTTATTCTATAAAAAGATGACCACAGGCTCAGTCCTTTCATCTATGATGGCTGTCTAGTTCTCACACTCCTACTGTCAGTAGGAATGTCGGTCCTGTCTTTGTTGGGTCCTTCACTCTCCTATCATGCCCTGCCTCTATCCACTGTCTTGCACGACCACACCCTGCTTTTGTGGTACTGGGAATCTAACTTTGGGCTTTGTGTATGCTAGGTAGGTAAGCATTCAAGCAACCTGAACGACATTCTAAGCAAAGTAATATATATTTTACATAGTTTATATAGTAACTAGTTCTGTTGACCATTACTGGACCTTTGGAGGGTTATGTTTCATTTTCATAACACAGTATTTTTAATTAAAATTTTTTCATACAATTTATATCTTATTTTTCCATCCCTTAGTTCCTCCCAGATCCTCCCTGTCTTTCTATACACCCAACCTTATATTCTATTTTCTCTCTCTTTAAAAAACAAAAGGACTGGAGAGATGTCTCCATGGTTAAGAGCAGTAACTGTCCCTGCAGAGGACCCAGTTTGGTTCCCATGTCACAGTTACAGCCATCTGTAACTCCAGTCCTAGGGGAGCTGATGTCCTCTTCTGGCCTTTACTAGCATTGCAGAGATATACATGCAGGCAAAACACTCATATGCCTTAAATAAAAGTATTTTTTTAAAAACCCACAAAAGCCGGGCGGTGGTGGCGCGCGCCTTTAATCCCAGCACTTGGGAGGCAGAGACAGGCGGATCTCTGTGAGTTCGAGACCAGCCTGGTCTACAAGAGCTAGTTCCAGGACAGGCTCCAAAACCACAGAGAAACCCTGTCTCGAAAAACCAAAAAAAAAAAAAAAAAAAAACAAAAACCCACAAAAACCTCCACAGAAACAGAGTACAAAACACTTAAGCAAAAGACCAATTAGACAAAAAAAAAAAAAAACAAGCAAAGCAAAATGAAACAAAAAGTCCACTAAAATACCATATAGTTTTTGTGTCAAGCTGGAATTGTTTAAATATTTTATGTGCATTGGTGTTTTGCCTGCAAGTGTGTCTGAGTGAAGTTGTTGGATTCCCTGGAGGTGGAGGTATAGACAGTTGTGAATTAGCATGTGGGTGCTTGGAATTGAACCCAGGTCCTCTGGAAGAGCAGTCACTGCTCTTAACCACTGAGCCATCCCTCCAGCCTGAGCTGAATTTTTTAAGATTTATTTGTGTGTGTGTGTGCAGGTCCCAATGAAACCAAAAACCAGAAGAGGACATCATCTCATCCCTGGAGCTGACATTACAGAAGATTTTGAGCTACCCAAAGTGCATACCGGGAGTGGAACTCGGACTCTCTGGAAGATCAGTAATTACTCCATACCACCAAGTCATATCTCCAAGTCCTAGTTTGGTTTTTTGAAACAAACTTCAAGATCATGCTGGCCATGAACTTTCAGTGACCTTCCTGCCTCTGTTTGCTGAGCGTTGAGATTACAGACATGAGTCACCCCCTGGCCTTTTACCTACTTTTTTAGGCACCCCCAAATTCTTCCCCTCAACTGGTTTACTCTGAGGATATCTCTTCATCCTCTAACCATCATAACCACTGTTTTAGTCAGTGTTCTGTTGCTGTGAAGAGACACCATGACCACAGCAGCTATTATAAAGGGAAACTTTTAACTGGGCCTGGCTTATGGTTTCAGAGGTTTAGGCCATATTGTCGTGGCAGGAAGCATGGCAGCACACAAGCAGACATGGTGTTGGAGAGGTAGCTGAGAGTTCAACATCAGGATCTTCGGTCAACAGGAACAGAGAGGGACAGTAGGCCTGGTTTGAGCATCTGAGACCTCAAAGCCCACCCCCAGTGACACACTTTTTCCAACAAGGTCACACCTCCTGGTGACCAAACATTCAAGCACATGAGTCTATAGGGGCCATCCCTATTCAAACTACCACACCACTCCAGCACAGTATAATTCAGGCGACCCTTACTCTTGTCCTGCCTCCACGCCGGTTCAGAGAGGGAAAAGTAGTTCATGTTGGGGCATCGGACCCCGACAATTGGTCCAATTTATTTTTTAGTAGAACTTGAGTCCCTTAAAAGGGAAACACCATAGAATCATGTCGTGTACTAAGTTCAGCATGATCTTTGCATGATCTTTTTTTCTTTTGAAAACTTTTTAGCTGTTTATTTTGGTTTTTGGTTTTTTGAGACAGGATTTCTTTTTGTGACAGCCCTAGCTATCCTGGAACTCGCTCTTGTAGACCAGGCTGGCCTCAAACTTGCAGAGCTATGCCTACCTCCTCCTCCTGAGTGCTGGGATTAAAGGCATGTGCCACCACTGCCAGGCTTTAGCTGAGGTTTGTAATACATATCTTTAATCCCAGGACTCTAGAGGTAGAGGCAGGCAGATGTCTTTGAATTTGAGGCCAAACTAGTCTATATGGTGAGTTCCAAGCCAGACAAGTCTTCATAAACCTGTCCAAAAAAATGTATTTTATTATGTATATGTGTGCATATGTGTATGGGCCCTCTGATTCCTTGGAGCTGGAGCCACAGCATTTGTGAGCCACCCAATGTGGACGATAGGACCTGAACTCCTGTCCTCTGATAGAGCAGCAAGCCCTCCTGAACCCCTAAGATATCTCTGCAACCTCACGAGCGATTCCCCACATCTCTGATGGATGACCTATTGCAAGTATCCTAGTTCATGACCGGTTTATCCTCTCATGGAAGATTTGCCATTGAGTTCTCTATTCTCTAATACATCCTAATGTCTGACCTGTACTCACTTGTCAGGCTGTAGCTTTGGTTCTCTGAGATCTCCTTGGCCATCTGGCCAACAATTTTTTCCCTAGGAAAATGAAACAAGGAAGGGGTAGAAATATAGCTTAGTGGTAGAATGCTTGAATGTGTGAGGCCCTGGATTCTATCCCTAGTACGCAGGAGAGAAAGCCAGAGTTCACACCGTCTTTATCTCCACTTGTCAGTTTCTATCTCAACTAGGTAGCTAGTCTGTCAACTAAGCATTTTCCTTATAAAACCCTGTAATGTTCATGTTTCTGTCTTGACTGCTGCTTTTTTTGGACAAGGTCTCACTCTGCAGCCCTACCTGGCCTGGAGTTGCAATGTAGATCAGATTGGTCTAGAACTCACAGAAATCAGCCTACCTCTGCCTCTCAGGTGCTAGAACTAAAGGTGTGTGCCACCATACCTAGCTTAAATATTTTTTAATTTTTTTGTTTTTATTGTGTGTATGTATGTGTGTAGTTTTGTATACATAAATACAGTACCCACAGAGGCCAGAAGAGGGAATGGGAGCCCCTGCAGCTAGAGTTACAGGAATTGCAAGATGCCTTATGTTGATTCTGAGACTTAACTTGGGTCTTCTGTGAGAATAATTTGTGCTCTGAATGGTTAAACTGTCTCTCCAGCCCCTAAGACCTATTTTTTGTTTTTGTTTTTGTTTTTTGAGACAGGGTTTCTCTGTGTAGCTTTGGAGCCTGTCCTGGAACTCGTTCTGTAGACCAGGCTGGCCTCAAACTCACAGAGATCTGCCTGTGTCTGCCTCCAGAGTACTGGGATTAAAGAAGATCTATATTTTACTTAGTTATGTGTATATGTGTATATATCTGGGGGTGCCTTTGGAAAATGTAAGACTTTGTTTTGTTTTTTTGTTTTGTTGAGACAGGGTTTCTCTGTAGCTTTGGAGCCTGTCCTGGAACTAGCTCTTGTAGACCAGGTTGGCCTCGAACTCACAAAGATCCACCCGTCTCTGCCTCCTGAGTGGAAAATGCAAGACTCTTAATTGGCTTTTATTTGATGTCTTAGAATCAGGCAACACCTTATTCCAAAAAATAGAGTGAGTCTTCCCTTCTA